GAAATATCTTCCAGCGAGTGTCTACCGCGATTGTTCAAACAAAAGCCCTGGGTCAAAATTGGCCCCTCCAAGGGGGTCATTATTTTTCCCTATACGTATAAAGTAATAATTTCTCATAAAAACCTCAAAGAGCTACAGCTTAGATATTTATCATGAATCATCTTCTAATGGGTGTCTACCAAGTTTGTTCAAATAAAAGCCCCTGGTTTAAAATTGGCTTTGGCCAAGGGGTTATATACAGGTGAGCGATTTTAGGGCCATCATGGCCCTCTTGTTCTTTGTTAATGAGTCTTTTCCAATCGTATGCAATCGATTTGGGTCTCAGATCCAAATATTCAATTCGGCATAAATAATCTCCATCCCCTTTGTTGGACGAAATTTGTGTTGTATTATGCATTTTTAGATTAATCAGTCATACATATTTTATATAATTCAAATGAATGACGAACACAATGTTGAACAGATACATATTTTTATTTCATACCGGGAACATTAAACATCACATGATTTATAAATGTTGTTTGACAATATGCGAGTCAGCATCGGATATGCTGTTCATATGTCGGATATGATTAAATAGTTTTCTATTTATAACTCATTACAACTTACTGATTTTGTAACACGCTTTGTTGACATTTTATGTGGGAAGTTGCCATATACATACATATGATATATTTATAGTGATATATATATATACTGATTTTAAAAGTCCAGTTGGAGTTCGATATTGAGAGTTGTACAGCGTTGTACTCTTATGTAGAATTAAAGTGTAAAAAGTTAGTTCTGCGTTTTTCTTTCCCATACAACACTGCATTTGTGAATAGTAAAATGCAAATTTTCAAGGAAGCTTAGGGCTAATAATGAAATGGACGATCTTGAGGCGTATAAACAATCTAAACGCGAATTTATATCTTAATAAAAAATGTTTATCAAACCGATTGCAAACGGGAGCTTATTCTTATAAGAAATGACCCCAAAATGTACTTCTAATACTTTTAGAAGAAGTGATATTTCATGATAAGACTGGTATAATAATTTTTCTCAGTTGCTAAGCAACACTGATGATCTTATCGGATGGATGAAAATTTTCCGAAAACAGTGATAACGGTGTGCTGAACGAGGGCGTAACAGAAAATAAGGTATTATCTGCCATAAACAAATTAACATCCTAGGAATCGCCAGGTTCGGTTATGTTAATATGTTAAATTTGTTAAACATTCACAATAATACTATAACAAACGTAAACTCGTTTGTATGCCCCGGGCCTATATTAATTGAACAGTCCGTCCGTCTGTCCGTATGAGGTTAACCTAACTCGGCAAGTTGGATTTTTAGCTCACCTGAGCTTGCAATCAGGGTGAGCTTTTAGGATCGTTTAATATCTGTCGTTCATCCAAAGTTGTTCGTTAACACACTATCGGTCACATTTTTGCCTCAATCATCATCAAACTTTATCAGGGTGCTTGTCTAGGTAATAGGTCCGATGTCTTTGAACATGGGTCATCTCAAATGAAAAATAGGTGTCATGAGCTTAAATAGAAAAATCTTGTTAATACTCTAATAATGGCTACCGTTTTTATCAAAATAACTATTGCATTCATTTTTACCAATTGATTGCCATTTTCAGCAAATGAAGAATTGGTTAACCTAAAACGGCAAGTTGGATATATCCTAAGTTCTATCTATACTTAGGAGTTCATAACTATCACATTTACTTATCAGTACAAAGTATATGATATTGCCAAGTTATATAATTGTGGCATCCATTTTCCCCTGTTATTTCCTTTATATCACTTTGAAAATGGGGCCTTTTACGGTTAACCTATTCCGGCAAGTTGGATTTATCTTATATATCTTCTAATTTATTACTTTATTTATTTAATGATATCTTCATATTTGGTTGATTGATACCTTAAATGGTTCTTTAATTTTTATGGAGTAAAGGGTATCAAGGGTTAAGGTCAAGGTCACTGGTGTAAAAAACAAATTTAAACACTAGCTCATACATCCTTAAGTTTTTAGCTGATGTTATTCATGTTTAATTCAACCTGCTAAGCGGGGTCCACATCCTTTGGGTTTAGTTCGGGGTCATTTGGGTAAAGGTCCAGATCAGCAATGTAAACAATAGATTTTTACTTTTTTTACAGGTGTGTTAACCTTATTCTATTGACAGTTATCTATTATAATTTGTAGGAACATAAAACTGGGTCTCTTTCTTCGGATGGAGTAAAAGTTCATGTGTGTCAAGGTCACTAGTGCTTAAACTAAATGTTCATACTTTTTCTAATACGACTTTTATTTATTGACATTTGGTTGGAAAATAAATCGCATGGTATTCTTCCTTCTGATGAGGTAGGGGTCAGTGAACCAAGATCCACAGTGCTAAAATATTTGTTTTTACATTTGTCCATATTGCCCTTTATTTAATGCCAAATGTATTTCATATCTGGTAGGAAGATAACTTGCATGGTATTCTTCCCTTGGATGGAGTAAGTGGTCGCTTGGGTCAAGGTCACCAGTACTAAAATATATTTCTACCCTTTTGCCCATATAGCCTTTATTTATTGGCAGATTTATTTCATATTTGCTAGGAAGATATATATATTATAGTTTTTAAATTGAGTAAGGGGTCAGTAAGGTCAAGGGTGCCAAAATTGATTTTTATGCATTGGCTTATATAGCCGTTGTTTAAAGCCTGAAGTTTTTCATATTTGAGAGAAACATACCTTGGATAGTCAAGTGCTGGGAGTCACAAAGTCAATGTTATCTGTAATGATTTTTTTACACTTTTTTATTATAGCCTTCAACAGACTCAATCAAACCGAGCCTGCAACATTTTCAATTTTGCCGTATTGGGCTTTCTTTAGGGATTCTGTTTTTTTCTATTTTGTTTTTTTTACCAATGTCTCATATTGACATACCTAAGTCGGTCCTTTGAGTTCGGATGGAATTTGGGGCTGCTGGGTTCAAGGTTAAGTCTTGCACTCACATGTAAGATAATAGTATTTGATCAAGCTGAATATTTTTCAACTCCATTACAACTTATATTTGTCATAATTCCAAAACGCCATGACTCTGTCAAGTTATATGATGTACAGACTCAATCAAACCGAGTCTGCAATTCTTATGTTATTTTGTTGTGATTAATGCTTCCGAGGGATCACTTTGTTTCCGGAATTTTATATAATTGTGTTTACATTCCTTCATTGAGATGATTGTTAAACATATTTTGAAATATTGTTACTGACAAGAATCTGAGCCTGGGCATGTGTTTTACCTTGTGCCCTGCCCTGTTCGTGTTTGGGGCCCACCTGGGCTCCTTGACACTGGTAACTGTTGCTGGGTCGTGTGGGTGTTGTGTTCATTGAACGCCGCCTTTCCTTGTTGATCTAGTTCGTCATATTTTACAAACATGTTTAAAGTGGAGGTAATGCATTAGGTTGGTCATACTTTAATCACATGCCGATGTATGACTTGCATCTATGACACATTAATTTTCTGTATTTCTAATGCTGTACAAATATTTCGTATGCTGTTCAATTGTTTCATCTAATGTTATTCATTTGTTTCATGATATTCGGTTTAGTTTCATGCACATCATACAATAAAAAAGATGTGAACACACAAAAGTGTTGTTATTCATATGATGTTATGTAGTAGGCAAAGGTTTCTATAGAAATAAATGCCTTTAATTAAGTTTCCAAACACTTGCAAATAAGTTCGCCATACATTTTGATAAGTGTTCCATTAGTTTTCGAAATTTTGAAAAGTTGCTCATGAATAAGTAAATTAATAAACAAAATAAATAAATAAATAAATAAAAGAGTTAATAACTTTGATATGATATATTTTATACGGCCATTTAACGTTTATTTTTATCTCACCTGTCACAAAATGACATGATGAGCTTTTGTGATCGCTTTTCGTCTGTCGTCCGTCTGGCGTCCGTCCGTTCGTTAACTTTTACTTTCAACGACATCTCATAAACAACTGAGCCAATTTCATCCAAACTTCACAGGAATGTTTATTTGGAAGAATTTAATTCCAAGCAAAACTCTGGTTGCCATGGCAACCGAAAGAAAAAACTTAAAATATTCTTTTTTAGAAAACCGAAAGAGCAAGAGCCTAAATATTTGGCATTAAATATCATCAAGTCAGTGTCTACCAAATTTGTTCAAATAATTGCACTAGGGTCAAAATTGGCTCCGCCTCGGGGGTCATTGATTTTCCTTAATTGTATATAGTTAAAACTTTTTTGATAAAAAAAACAAATACCTATGGCTTAGATGTTAAGCATGAAACATTTTCTAATGGGTGTCTACCAAGTTTGTTCAAATAAAAGCCCTGGCGTAAAAATTGGCCTCGTCCCAGGGGGTCATTGATTTTCCTTGTTTGTATATAGTAGAAACTCTAAAAATCTTCTTTAAAAAAAAGCTAGAGCTTAGATATAAAGCATGAAACATCTTCTTGTGTGTGTCTACCAAGTTTGGTCAAATAAAAGCTCTGGGGTAAAATTGGCCCCGCCCCAGGGAGTCAGTGTTTCTCTTTATGTATATAGTAAAAAATTAAAAAATCTTCTTTTAAAAACCCAAAAGAGCTATAGCTAAGATATTCAGCATGAAACATCTTCTAATGTGTGTCTACCAAGTTTATTCAAATAAGGGCCCTTGGGGTCATTGATTTTCCTAATATGTGTATAGTAAAAACTTAAAAAAATCTTTTTATAAAAAACACACAAAGTTAGAGTTTAGATACTAAGCATGATATATCTTCTAGTGAGTGTCTACCAAGTTTATTCAAATAAAAGACCCTGGTTATTAAATTGATCTCGGCCCAGGGACCTATATACAGGTGAGCGATTTCAGGGCCATCATGGCCCTCTTGTTTTACAAACATAAGGTTAATTTATATAAACATGATGTTTTCATGTTATAACTTTTTAAGGGGGAATAGAAAATGTCCTAACTATATATCAATTGGTAAGTATGTTTTATTTCCAGGTCATTAAAAGGAACATTGATAGAGCCTTACAGTAAAAAGACAGGATTTGGAACTCATCCAGGTGGAGTATTACAGGTGCGTTATGGTTTTTGTAGCATTATAAATTTGAATTATGTGAATTTGTTAGCAGGTATGTTACGATAATTATTTCGATTATATGCGTAGAACAGGTACATTGCAGTGTTTCTTATTTCATTCATTATTAATGATAAAAGCCGTATCTTTTTCTCATTCGCGTATGTATGATATATAAATTTACTGCGTATGAAGTTCTAAATATCAAAATACTTATTTCTTCTTTTTATTGTTGGCGAAATAGAGAGGATGAGGTTTTTCATTTTAACAGACACAAGGCTCCTTTGTTATTCTCCTTCGTTAAGATATTTGATGGTCAAAACAGGTTCCGTAGAACTTGATTTTTCCAATAATTCATACTTAGTGAAAGGCAGGTTTAGCATGTATTCAGATAACAGCATAACTTTTCTTGATGCAGTACAAGCAAGGAAGAAAAATTGTATTTTTAAATAAAGTAATATCTCAAAGCATAACATATCAAAATTGGAACTGCAAACAGTAGTAGTAGCATATGGTGTATGGTATCGAAGATCGACCATATGAACCGGAGATGAGTCAAGTTTGTCCAAATTCCTTTATCATATATATATTCAACTCTAACTATTCTACTTAACTATGCTAATGTTTAAGATTAATGACTTTTCTGACGAATTGGAGGGACAATATTCATGTTTTGCGATAACTTCTGGTGGAATAGCAGAACACACATTTGAGTATAGGATTGCAGAGGATTGTAACGTCAGTAAGTCTAAAACATTAGCAACACAACAAAGATTTTATGTATAACACATTAAAAAAGAAATATAAATGCAAATTTATCGAAGAAAAGATTAAAAGTAGAGTTTTATAAGCAACCAGAAATAAATGTTATATTTGCCCATTTACAATAAAGTTAACCAATTGCAAATACACAAGTTTTCGTTGAATGTTATTTATATTATGGTCTCTTTTCATACAGATTCCTAGTAGACTGAGGTGATTTCAAATAGTAGATACTACACTGTACTTATCTCTCACTCTAATACATAATATCTTTGAATTATTGTGACGTTTAAGTTCAATTTGGTAATTTTTGTTTGTTTGGTTGTTTTTGACATTGTTTTCCATATTCAATGTTACAAGGAATATTTCCTGGACCTCAGTCAGAGAGTAAAAAGATTAACGAAATGGCTTTACTTATATGCCGCGTGGACCAACAGGCCAAAGAAGTTAGATGGAAGAAAGATGGAGTTTACATTGATTATGACAAGGATGATAGAATTAAGGTATGTTTACATTTAAAAAAATCAATTTAGTACGTATTTCCATACGATTGCAAACATTTATCATTTAATAATGTCCTATATTTTGGAATTGTTTAGCCCAACCATTAAAAGATGGAGAGACATACGAAATGAGTAAAATTCAAATTGCAGTTTTGTATATTTAATGAAATTAAATAGCAAATATATTATTCTTGACATTTCATTAATTGGAAACCGTCATTGGTATTTAACCCATTACCTCATATATACGCGAAACAACGCACCTTCGACCTCCCTTTTTTAGGCCTCAAATTGTAAAAAATGTCCCTTTTTGGCCCCAAACACATGTTTTCGTTTGAGAAATGTTGATAAAAAGTGACCACTTTTCATGCGCGGCCCCAACCAAAAGATACATCAGGGGAATGCAAGAATGGGGATGTGCCTCCTTCTGTTTGGGGGGTTTGAAGTCCCCCTCATCGCCAATAATATTTTGGACTTGTGAGATCGATCATAAGGTAACGCGTAACCAAATCTGAAAAGCATTTGAGTTTTTCTCAATCCATTGAGAAGCAGAGCTGCATTACTGGTACTGCAGTAGATACTGCAGCGATTTTGCAAGTACTGGTACTGATACTGAATTACTCTTACAAAATTGTGCTTCTACTGGTACTGGTATTGCATTACTGACTTAAAAAGTGGCACTGCTACTGCATTACTTGGCAGTACTTTTGATTTTGATAAAAGTAGCATCAATTTTTCTCATAAAATAAAGCTGTAAATTACATTATTTTATTTTTGTGAAAAAAGAATCTATAGATAATTTGCTGCAATAGTCCTTCAAATGTTAACATAGTATTCATCATAAAATAAGCACCAAAGACTTTAGGTAAAAATTAAATTGAGATAGACAGACTCAATAACTCATTACCCTAAAATATCCTTATTAAAATCTTTTATTACTTTGTATTTACTAGTAAAAGAGCAAAATAATCACTTATTGCTTCTAATCTAAATAATCCTATTTCAAGTGATATTGTTAGCATCATAAAAATTTGTTATTTACTTTGGTATAAATTGAACAGAGGTGTTAAAGGCAACAAAAGACTGTTGTGTTTCTAATGAAAGAAGATTGCATTGTATTACAGTTGACTGGTAACTAAACAATAAGATATGACATGAATATATGTTGTTTATATTGTTTGTAAAAAGTATGTTAAAACTATAAAGTTGTAAAAATGTTATGTTAACTTTAAAGTAAATTATGATTTTATTTCTTTGCTGAATAATATTTCCAATTATTTGTTTGGCACTGTGTATTTATTCAAACTTTGATGAATATATAAAAGTAATGGTACTGATACTTAATTACTTCACCAAAAAAAGTACTGGTACTGCAGTACCGAGCTCAAATCTAGTACTAGTACTGGTAATGGTACTGCATAATTTGCCAAGTACTGGTACTGGTACTTAAGTACTACATCCTTAGTACTAATGCAGCTCTGTTGAGAAGGTGCAGCACTTTGAAATCAATTTTGACGTTTGATTAGTATTGAAGCAGTTTTTATAGTTTTATAGCAATTTGAACTTGTAACGGGAGACTTTACAATGAAAACAGCAATTTTTCACAAAATGCTCATGAAGTAATGGGTTAACAGTCAGATAGGTAGACAGTAAATTTTATTGACAGTAGAACATTTTTGTTATACATTTAACATATACGTATACACAAACATATATTTGTCAAGCGATCAAATAAGATTCAAACAATTATTACATTTTTATCACATAAATAAATCAAGATATTTCAAGAAGGATGAGCAACCTAGTTAATAAGACAAGTTTGATGTTTCAATTTTTGCAATTTACAGTAAAAAATTCTAGAAACAAAGTGATCCCTCGGAAGCATTAATCACAACAAAATAACATAAGAATTGCAGACTCGGTTTGATTGAGTCTGTACATTTCTTAACAGAAACACAATTATCACAATTCAAAAGCTCTATAAACTTCATTACATTTGCCCCTATGAAATATGCTTTAATGAATTGTTTCCTTATATTTGTGTACACTGGGCATACCATAACAAAATGATATTCGTTTTCTTAATTTCGATTGCTACAAAATACACAATATCGCACATTTCTTTCTACTCTATTCCGGTTTCAATGGCCAACTTGTGCGATGATAGTCTAAGCTAAGACAAAACGCTTCTAAATTTAAATTGCAATATATCTAAATATTTTTTTAAACCCTAATGAAATTTTAAAATGTTTGAAATGTTCTGCATCCCCGTAGCCGTTGGTGCCAGTTTTGTTCAAAAAAATATATTACTCTGTCTAGAAAAACTAGAGTCAACACAGAATAAATTGTTTCAAACACATGAAGAACTATAACAATATAAAAGGTTACTGTAATTTCTATTAACCGTACATTTACAAAAATAATTTGCTCACAATATATAAGAATACCTTACTAATTTACACAAGAATTATAATTATAATTATAATTAATAATACGCACATACCTATTTATATACAATGGGTAACGCCTCAATTCTCCATAAACACCTATATTACTACATGTTGTTTAAACTTTCAAAATAGATTTGTAAACATTTAAATTGATACGTTCAATTTCTTTCGATTTACCAGAACCAGAAAATTCACACACATAATTTAGAGTAGTTGTACCAAAGGCGTCCAATAGCTGGCAAATAACGCTATGTTTATGATTTAATACTTTGATATTATACATTAAAACATTTAGAGCCTTAATACCTTAAGCTGCCAATGTTTCTTGATTTAATACTAATGAACCCTTGTAATTAAAAACATTCTTGATTATTAAAATTATCAACAATTTCTCTTTCCTTGTTGTTATAAGACCAACATTCATCATGTTTAAAAGGGCCGCTTTTTCTAAAAATAATAATATTCGTCTTCAAAGTATTCACTTATAGATCTAATTAATTACAAAATGTAAAATGCAAGTTGAGGCTATTTGTATGTCGCTTACAGTATCGTCTACAATAACCATGTCGTCTGCAAAAAGTATGAAAGTTATATCTTTAGTGATAAGTCGCTAGCATCTTTTTCATGCAAAACTAGTTCTAGGTTATCAATAAATAAGGGGAACATCAAAAGGAGACATAACCTCTCCTTGTTCCTTGTTTTGTTTAAGGCCTGCAGCGCATTCGAAGAATTACGAATATGAATTAAAACCTTTAACACAATTTTAACATGTGAATACATATTAAATCATATACTTTACTATTCTAAATAGCTTTCCATCGATGCCTAATTTATACAATTTTAGCAAAAGGTCATTTAGATAAACACTATCAAATGCTCTTTTCATATCAACCATACAGTATTACAATTAAAACTTTGTGTACAATAAGATTTAAAACAAACACAGCATCAATTGTTTAACGACCCGTGCGAAAGTCAAATTGCGCGTCATTAACAAAGTTAAAAGTTTCTGACCAATTGCTCAGCCGCTTATTCAGTATTCTTGTAAAGGGTTTCGATAAACAACTTACAAGTGCAATGCCTAGTTACGCACGTCTCACGGATCGTTCTTTTAAAAATAGTTACGATAACTCCACATGACCATTCAACTGGAAAATGTCCGAAATTTAGAATGACATTAAACAACCAAATGGGAGAGTATATCATAGCATTCTATAAAATATTCGTTTATTAAAATACCCATGCAACAGGCTTTAGTCTTCTTCAATTTCTTAAGAAAAAATTCCAAATCAGCAGTAGTAATTGGCTTATCTAGCTCATCAACACTGTCTGTCCCACAGTGCTTACATATGGTTTTATGTGGTTATAGTAGTAGTAGTAAATTTTCTTTGAAGCCAGTTATTTGTATACAAGAACTTTAATGTGTCCATAAGTCTAAAAGTACTATGGGGTAGTCACTTTAAATCCAAAAGTGTGAGTGTCCGTCTCTCTCCTCCCGACGTAAGGAATTTCGAGTACATGCTGTAACGAATACCATATTTAATTGACACAATTTTATAAACAATTTAAACATCTTGCTAGTGAATAATACCATATGATACCAATATTTGTGTTCTTTAATTGTTTTAATGCTGTCACATAAACAAAATATTTTTAGCTCGACAATTTGCAGAATAATCGAGCTAATGCAGTCACACATTTGTCGGCGTCGGTATCCCGGTGGTTAAGTTTTTGCGTGCAAGCAAGTATCTCCATAACTACTGAAGGGATTGGATTGAAACTTCACACACTTGTTCGCTGTGATTACCTAACATGGTTGTTTCAAGTCCCAAACTTCTGATTTGCTTTTTTGCATATTAATGCCCCTTTGTCGACTTAGAAATCCTTGGTTAAGTTTTTGCGTGTAAGCTGGCTTCTCCATAGCTATTGAAAGGAATTGATTGAAACTTCAGACACTTGTTCTCTGTGCTTATCTTACATGATTGGCACAAGTCCCATAACTCTTTTTTTGCATAGGTATGTCCCTTTTTCAACTTAGAAATTCTTGGAAAAGATTTTGCTTGTAAGCCGGTATCTCGATAACTACTGAAGGGTTTGTGCCTTTTTGAGACAATTTTATGCATTCATAATTATAAAGCAGTGATTTACTCGATAATACATCTTATTAACAAGCCTTTGTACATTTTCGGACAATTTATGTATTTATATAATTAAGCATTGTTATACTCCATGAAACACCCCTGTGTTTCTTTTTTCAAAAAGTCGAGCGTCACTGTCCTCCCACAGCTCTTGCTATATCATTGTTTTAACATTATTGGACCGTACACCGGATAAGATCGTGTTTTGAGTCAACAGATGGATAAAATTACCAGGGCAAAGAAAATTTTCAATTTGTCAGCTAAAATGACACTTATTTGACCTGGGTTTGATTTTATGTTTCCCTTCTACAGCGAAAAAGATGCTAACACCTAGTGTACTGGATATAGCAAATACTGTGAATATACTGTATTGGTATAAATAACAAATATGAGTCATAAATCACCATTTGAGTCGGTTTGAGTAAATTTCTAATATTAATTAAGATAAATAGGTAATATTGGACCGGATAAAGATTTATTACCGTGTACCAAACGCCGGAAGTTCTTCGGTCCAGTCTTATAAAATGCGAAATAAATTTGACTTTGGTACAAATAATTATTATTATTATTATTTAGCAATTTGCATTGTCAAAACTATAATAAAAATTGAATCAAATATCTTTTTTTTTCACTGTTAAATGTAAATAATTTTATTCATACTTTGCATTCATCTTACATACACCACTATTTTCCATCTTTACAAAAAGGCAATGTTTTTAAAGTCACACCTGTTTTTTTTAATGATCACCAAAACAATCAGCAGAAAGTAGTGGTCTGTTTTTCAAGCTTAATTTGACTTTCATGACAGGACATGAGAAAAAAACATTTGTATTCATTGTGTAACAACAAGAGCAAATGTGTTGTATTTTTCTTGTGACTACACCATGTTTTTTTTTATGCGAACAGTTTGTTTTCATTTTTTTCACAATACTAATGGTTCATTATTCTGTTGGTCAAAACTAAATCTTTATTATTGACAGAAAATGGCTAATGATTACTTACGTATCTTAAACGTTGGAATGCAGGACGCGGGAGTTTACCAGTGCGAGGCCGAAGACGAAAACGGTTGCTATAGTTATAAGGAAGGCAAACTTCAGGTGGTAGACGTAAAGTCGTTCAGTTCATGTACGTGTTTTCATTTCCAATTAATAAGCTTTTTTTAAAAACTTAGATCATATTGTTTTATCTGTTAAGGTTCTTTCGAATCATTATTACATGTCTTGATTTTCTTGTTACGATTGATTCAAAATATGAAAAAATACACGACTCAGCAACACAAAACTACCGACAAGACGCCCAGCAGGATGAACAGGACACAGGGTATTAATTTGAATAAAAGTCAGAATAGGAAATCATAGAAAACCGACAAGGAAATTAAAGACAGGTCTTCAAAAGTGAAAGAACTTGAGGAGGAAAGGGGGAGTAAAATTAAAAAATACTATGAACAGTCTCAAGCAAACCAAGCGTTTCAATTGTGCCGTTTTGAAATTTTCTGCTCTCTACGCAAGAAAGACACTAAGACCTTCCGTTAGGATACTAAGATGACTTTTAGACCCCTTTACTCTTAGACCCCCTTTTTACACGACTTTTAGACCTCTAGTGGGTTAGACATTTCGACCCCTATATCAATTTTTGTACTTTAACAGGCCAGTAAGATATTTCGAGAATTTTTGTTAGGCAGATAGCAAATATTGTAATTGTTTTCATTACAAGATCGGACAAAGTTTTGAAAAAGAGGGGAAATAAAATTGTTTTTAATTATTTACTGTTTTACGTTACATAAAGTAATAATATAATTTTTTGATTATATATTTTTTTAAGCTGGGACATAATTCATATTAGTGGAGGAAATATAATAAATAGCGCGATTTTTACATTGCGTGATTATTCATAATATCTACAATTTCTATATAAATTTGTAAAGATTTAGTTTATGTTTTCCCTTTAAAACACATTTATGTTATATTGGTGATGAATATTTATACTTGTCTACTTAATTAATGTTATATATTTAATTAAATTGTAGGCAGTTCGATGTTGCGATTATCTCGATTTACGATATGATAAAGAAACCTAAGTACATGTACCAATGTCTTTCAATACATATCGCTCAATAATTAATTGGTTGTGATTTGTTGATGTTTTCGACTTAAAGTTTTTTCACAACAGCAATGTACATTTGTATATTATGATATATAGTATTGTAGTTATGTTTAATGAAAAATAAATAATATAGTCTCATCCACTTCATGTATTGTCATTTTAACATAAAAAGTGAAGTTAATTTTCAAAATCTTTTTTTTTTTCAAATAGTTTACATCTTGTATTTCATATACGCATTTTTCGCTTAAACATTTTGTGTAATTTGAATTTAAATGTAATATTGCCTCAAAAGGCTTTAAAGTAATATTTTCGACAACAAACGTAATTAAGAACAAATCTTAATTTTCTTTAATATCTTAAAGTCAATATGTGTTCCTTTTAATATCTTTGTCTAAATCGCGATGTGAATACGCATGTCGCGAGTCGTTGATGACTAAATAAAACACCCTGTCAATTATAAATTTTGTTGCGCTAAATAAAAAGTAGCTGCATTTCATTATAAGCGGGGTAGGCTACATTACTAAATTAAAGCGCATTTCGTTTGGTCAATTTATTACCATTTCCAAAAATTTATATTAAAGTTCACATAAGTTATAGATATATGTCCGACTCATGAAAAAATATTCGTTTTACTTAATAAAGACAGTTCATTTCAAATAACAATCAATTATAATTACTACAAGTTATTTGAAATCTGTATTTGAATGGTGCTGCTCATGTCAACACTCTAAAACGCGGAGAGTATTGCTTTGTGTCTTTATTACATCATAACAGTGTTACGTTAAAATTAGAATTTGTGTACACGCATATGATGTAGGAAATTCGCTTTCTGATAGTTCTCAAACTATATGATTATTTCATGTATAACAATACACGCACATGTACATGTATTTTCATTAAAAAAAAGTATTAAAAGAACCAAAAAGTCTCAAATTTCCTAAGTTCTTAAGAAGGAAACTAATAAGTGTACATGGACGAAAATGAATGACAGTATTTGCTTACAAAAATGTGAATTACAAAACAACTGATAGAAATGTATTTAAATTAAACAAACACAATTACACGAAACCGTATCCAATGTAAATTGTTATTACTTAAATTATAAAATAATGTATAAATATACACACATATACATGTATATATTATATTTTCTGTTTAAATTTAATGTGTATGTTTCTGTTTAACTTACAATACTTGACTTGAATAATGATTATAAATAACAAATAACGACTGATTTTTTTAACTTATAATTCAATATATCTAATTTATTAAACATATCAAAATGTTAAACATCAATCTGGTAAAAAACATTTTTTTCTGAATTAATGTCTACATGCACATTTTTTCTAAAATAACGTCTAATATTAATGTACTTTGTAGAATAAGGGGTCGAAATGTCCAGTCAATTTAAGTGGTCAAATTGTCTTAGGGGTATAAGTGTCATGGGTCGAGATGTTTTAGGGGTCGATGTGTCAAGGGGTCGGGATGTCATAGAGTCATCTCTACTTGACCGTAGACGAGAAGGGACACAAATGCGTCTTAACAAAATCATGTAGCAAGAAACAAGACATTCATGTGAGGATCATAGAGGAAGCCATATTTGCTTCAAAATGCTACACTTCTATTTTCTTAAGACAGTTCAAACTGAGTTAGTAATTTTAATCGCTCGGTTTTAAAAACATTTACCCATTTTGATTTTCGGAAACTGGAGTGCAATTGCATATAAATATGAAAAAGGCATTGAATATTTCACACATGTATTTATAAAACATCATTAAGTCAATTATCACTAAAACATAATGATCAAATATTTGAAACAAACACTGATAAGGCGAACGCACAAAATCATTTCTTCCAAGCGCAAACTCAACTAAATGAAACCAACAACCAACTACCAAACACTTGTGTTAATCCAGTAGCTCCAAAACTACATTTTCTTACAATTACTCCGACCGAAGTAACTGATGCACTTCTACCTCTGAAAGCCGGCAAAGCCACAGGTCCAGACAAAATCAACAACTTTGTTTTGAAACAACTATCTGTCGAATTATCTACTCCTCTGTGTAATCTTTTCAACTATTCAATACAGTCAGGGAGAGTTCCCACAGAGTGGAACATTGCTCAAGTCTGTGCTATCCATAAGAAAAATGACCCACAAGATATTAGTTATTACAGACTGACCTCGTTACTTAGCGCCCTCAATAAAGTTCTTGAGCGTATCCTACACAAACACATCTTCAACTCTTATCATGAACATCACTTTTTCTCGACCTTGCAATCTGGTTTCATGCCTAACGACTCTACTGTCAATCAACTAACTTCCATTTATTATTCCTTCTGTCAAGCCCTAGATGATGGGAAAGAAGTCAGGGCTGTTTTTTGTGACATATCAAAAGCCTTTGACAGGGTGTGGCACCGTGGTCTTCTCTTTAAATTACATCAAAGTGGTATTTCCGGTCAAATCCTTACGTGGTTTGAAAGTTATCTTTCAGACAGAAAACAGTTTGTTGTTGTTTCTGGTACTTCCTCTGATACTGTTACTATCTCAGCTGGTGTTACTCAAGGTTCCATTCTTGGACCGCTTTTGCTTCTAGTGTACATCAATGACATTGTAACCCGTATCTTATTACCCATACGTCTTTTTGCTGATGATACAACTTTGTATATCATTGTCGAAAATCCAGTTACTGCTGCTGAACAACTCAATATAGATCTTCAAAACATCAATGCTTGGGCACATCAATGGCTTGTTTCCTTCAATCCCTCCAAAACTGAGTCTTTTATAATCACACAAAAACAAAATAAAGCAGTTCATCCACCTGTAGTTTTCAATAATACAATTGTATCAAACGTTCATATCCACAAACACTTAGGTTTAACTTTTTCAGAAAATGGCTCCTGGACAAACCACATTCAAGACATCAAAAACAAAGCGTGTCAGCGTATAAATATTCTTAGAACCTTCAAATTTACCCTTGACAGAAAATCTATCGAAATTATATATATTTCCTTTATCCGTCCAATCCTTGAATACGCTGACACTGTATGGGACAACATCACAAAAGGCGAACAAGAAGACATTGAACAAATCCAATTAGAAGCCGCTCGAATCATTTCCGGTGCTACTCAACTTGTGTCTCTTTCTAAACTTTATCAAGAAACTGCATTAGAACCACTCAAAACCAGAAGGACTAAGCACAAACTCATTCTTTTCTATTAAATGGTTAACTCTCTCGTTCCTCCCTATCTCTCAAATCTTGTTCCAACATCAGTTGGTAGTGAAACTCCTTATGGGCTTCGCAATTCGGAAAATATCAGAAACGTCCACTGTAAGTCTTAGCTATTTTCCAATTCTTTCCTTCCATCAACTATTAACGCTTGGAATAATTTAGCACCCGACGTCCAAAACTCATCCACTTTATCATCTTTCAAACATGCTTTAAATAGAAAATAACAAAAATTCCATCTTACTATTATACTGGAAGCAGAGAAGTGTCTATTCAACATGCTAGATTACGAATGCATTGCAGTTCTCTTAAAGAACATCTTTTTTCTAAAAATATCATTGAAAGCCCATTATGCACTTGTGGAGAAATTGAAGACACAAAACACTTTCTTCTTGCATGTCCAATTTATACTAATCAAAGAACAACCATGTTAAACAACATCAGCAATATCACACCAATCATTGAAAACATTCTCCTGTTTGGAAATGAATCTCTTGACTCGGACAAAAACGAAACTATTTTTTAAACATGTGTAAGGCTTTATAACACATACACGAAGATTTAAGCGCTAATTAAAACCCACTATCGCTTCGTCCCTGAAAAAGACCCACACATCTCAAATCTTTCTTCCCCTCCTAACTTTACTCCATGGACTTTCCCTACCTTTATTTTCTCTCTTTGATAATTACTTAACTTAAAATGTTTTAAAAATCAAAACATTTTTCTTTCTGATCTTTTTTTCTATTTTATCTGTTTTTCTTTTTGTTTAAAACCAGGTCTACCCTTTCGTTTATTTATTATGTTCCGGTTCATAAATGTTTCAAATGAAGTAACAACGTCAGTGCAGATTCTTATGACAGACAGAAGCGAGGCTTAGTATAAGCTACAAAGCTTTATCCTCTATTCTGTATGCTATACTAACACAATGATTGTTTTTATTATATTTATATTTGTTATTACTAGATTGTGTAAAATTGTATAACATGTGTGTAAATCTATTTGGAAAATAAATATTGTTTAAACCAATTATCACATTTCCGCTTTTCCTTGCGGATTTACTGTAAAATATATTTTATTTAAGTGATAATATTTTTCTTAGATATAAATTATGCTTGACAAATCGGTGAAGTATTAAGTATCCTATTCAGGTTTTCTTATATCAAAAATATATGTTCTTTGGAAAGATGAACATAATAAACTCAAGTCATAAAAATTTTTCTATTAGATTGTGGAATATCCGTTCATGAAGAGGCACTGTTGAGTGCAAAAATTTCAAAGGGATCTGAAGCACCTCCAAAAATGTACCCATGGCATGTAACATTCAGATCTACAGGAGTAAGTACAACAATATATTATTATGAATATGTAAAGTGTAAAACGCAAAATATTAATTAATAATCTTTGTATCTGTGTATCATACAACAAAAAAATAAAGTTGTATTTAGGTTATTATTAGGTTTATTAAAACATTTCATAATTTCTTTATTGGTATGACCTTTGTAGGAAGAATCAAAGCAAAGTCAAATTTTTAAGGATCTTTGCCGCGTAAGCAGACTCTGCGTTTGCATTTCCATAATATTCTGTTAAATTATATGTACTAAATAAAGGAACTACTGAGTTAAGAGTTTTTTTCTATTGCTTAACTTATGTTGTAATCATATTTCAGTGAGTGTTTGAAATATATTTAGAATTATATGTTAGAATATAAACGAAGCATAGCCATTTTCCTCTGTGTAAATTTTGTAATGTAAAAAAAAACTATTCTAAACGGCTTATGTTTTGTAAAATCATGCTTAGCAACTGACATTTGTGACAAATGCAGACTCGATTTGCTTATTTTATATTGGCGTATACATAGATAACTTTATTTTTATGGAACTAATCGAACAAGACCGTTCGAATCTGCAACTTAACAAAACGATAAATACGGTCAGATCTTTGGCACATCCCGTTATATCGGTTTCTGCGGAAATGAGGCGGGGTTAACAGATGCCATCTGGTAAAGGCGAAAAATTGAGCTGAAATGACCATTATAGTACAATGTTCAAATGAACATCATCAAAAACAGAATATACCCGACAGGCACATCGATATCAGAGGACACATAGTGAGACCCCGTTCCATCCCACCATATGGGGTTCTGCAGAACTGAGGCTGGGGCTCATAGGGGCTATTCGGAAATTACCATTTATAGTACGATTTTGAGCTCAACGTCTGTAAAATACTAGAGTATTCACGACGTACACACCTATACCAGCGGACACTCGGTCAGAGGCCCTAACAATGCAACTTTGTGAAGTGTTGCTTGATTGAGACTGGGGAATAGTGAGAGTTAAATAACCATCTATAGTACGATTTTTGGCTCAACGTCATCCAGTTTTCCCAACGGACACACCTCTATAAGCGAACACCCGGACTTACCATGCACACATTTATTAGCTGCGGTTTTTATTATTATGGCTAGCCGGATAACCAGAGATCGAGGTGATAAGTAATCTTTAAAGATCCTGTAACACAATTTTATTTTTTTTTATCAAAAATGTAATGCTAAAATTAAGATCTATCAATTTTGTAAGTCAAAAAAGCATTATTTATAAAGATATTACCAAATTTAACATTTCATGTTAATAGAGGGGGGTAATAAACAATTTATTTTCTGTAAAGTGTAAGTCAAAATTTCCAATAAGAAATGAACGCATATAATTAAATGATTACATATAATATGTACAAATATTTGCAGTACATATTTTATATATTCTTCGATGTTTGAAAATTGTTTATTATCATAATTATACACGTATATAATTTCACTTAAGTGTGGTATGCCACCTCATTTACAACATACAGGATCTTTATTACAATATGCGAAAAATACAGGTTTTACTGTATCATCTCTTGCTAGCAGGTTCAGTCGGGACAGGATTCCAACTTGACGGAGTAGCCGGCACAGCCGGACTAGACAAACAAACCTGTGTTCTGGTCGTTCCGGCAGTTCCGACTGTCTCGCTAATTTTACGAAGATATCGGAATCATTGATTGTAATTTTAACAGTAAATATTGTATACCACTAAAATACATAATTAGTGTAATCATTTTTTTCTAGTGTATGTTTGCAGGAATAACCATGTCTTTTCATTGCTTTTAATATGAGAAACATATCTTGTATCGTTATTTATAAATTCGTTTGAAAATAACCAATGCTCTCAAAATGTAAACCAGAAAAAACATTAATATTGAACGATTTTAAATTTGTTCTTTATTCATTTTAACTATTGCATTTGAAAGTTATTGCAGAACTTTGAATCCTTTGAACGAAGGGTTCCAAATAAAAACCGAGTAATGAATCCGAATTGGAAAAGATAACAAATTTCATAGGGTGAGAATATCTTTATGTTGGAAACTATTCAAAAGAGTGCAAGGACATCCATATGCTTTGACAAATATTTTTAATTTTTGATAAAAAGTGATTTCTCGGAAGCATTAATCATAAGAAAAATTTCAAGAGAATTGCAGACTCGGTTTGATTGAGTATGTACATGAGAGATACTGAATACGTGCAACATCCCTCACGGCTCCTAGTACCGGCTTGAGCGGTACCCAATTCTCAACACCCAATAGTGCCGGCATCAATGATCCCGAAGGACCAGAAAAATATAACACCACTGAAGTGAAGTAAGGGCAACTTTTTACAGCTGCCACACAGCACTTGACACCTGCTGTTGTACAATATAAAAATACTCGTATGTTTATGTTCAGGTATGAGTTTAAAGAGATAACATTAATTTGAAAACGATAAGTTGAAGATTTACCCCAACAAAAAAAAAAAACAAATACAAAAAAAAACAAACAGCAACAAAGGCAACAACAAAAAAGGTCAATCTAAGACAGCACATTTTTTATCTTGCTGCTGTATAGTTTGTTTTAGCTTCAGGATAATTCAATATTTAAAGGCCCAGTTTGCCTCACAAATGCTCTTCTTTATATGTCACTAAGTTTTGTTGAGTCCTGTTAAAGTTTTCAAACCTTTACCCATTTGTCAATAACCTGATCCATATTTTGTTTTGTGTTGCATATTTGCCATGTGTACAGTTATAATGATTTGGAATGATATATGGAGGTCAAGTTATTACTTTGTTTCCATTGTGTTTAAATCAGCGCTACTCTCTTAAGTAATAAGAATCTAACATATTAACAAACCATTATTTTATTTACACATTATAAAACTCAGGTTTGCTTTTTCTAAAGTAAAAAAAAAACTCGCGTTTGTGACACAATGTTTGTCAAATGAATGTTATTGTACTATGAATTGTTACATTTTATTTGCAAATTTAAGTTCAACGCATAAAAAATTGTATGGCATGATTTCATGCTTTTTTCTTTCTTTTTTGGGGTAAATTAGAGAAAATTCATTAAAACTTTCAAATATAATTAAAAAAATGGATTGTAAAATTCTAAATAATACGTGTTCGTTTCAAAAAAACATAATGTCATCGTTTTTGTACATTTTATTTGATTGTAAACTATGAATTGTTACATTTTATTTGCAAATTTTAGTTCAACGCATACAAAAATTGTATGGCATGATTTCATGCTTTTTTCTTTCTTTTTTGGAGTAAATTAGAGAAAATTCATTAAAACTTTCAAATGTAATTTAAAAAATGGATTGTAAAATTCTAAATAATACGTGTTCGTTTAAAAAAAACATAATGTCATCGTTTTTGAACATTTTATTTGATTTTTGAAAGACTTGTTCATTAGGGATTTCGTTGTGTTGTAATGCATTCTTTATGGATTCCTCCATTTGCATGAATTTAATTAAAACTTAAGGTAAAATTTAAAAAAAATGAAAAAATAAAGAATAAAAACCTAAAACTTTAATGTATTCTATATTGCAAGGATGCGTCCATGAAAAGGGTGTTTTGTGGTGGAACATTGATTTCACAGAGTTTCGTTGTCACGGCTGCTCATTGCATTAAGCAGTTCAGCAAGGTCTTTGGTGTTGATTTTGGGGCAAAAAATGTTGAACTTTTACTTGGTAAATATAATCAATCTTAAAATTATGTAATTAACATTTAAAGAATAAAAATAAAATCTGAGTTTTGTGCAATGTTCAGTACTTAGAAATAAAAAATATAATTGGACACCAGGTACATTTTTATAAGTTCTGGCCATTGTTTTCTCGTTTAGGGCATACGCATTTATTAACTTGGAGACAATAGATAATTTAACATGGAATGACACAAACGTGTCACATTGAAGGCTTCATGATAACCACTGTAGGAACACATCTGCAGGTGTTTCCAAATACAACATTTCACAAGTTTTATGTTTAAATGTTGCATTCTACATAAAACTTTGCTATGGGACATGGACGGTAACTTCAACTGTCCAGTACTGTCTATGAACTGTCCGTTTTTATTAGCGTTTTGTGCGTTCTTTAGGGATACTGTAATTTCTCTGTTTTATTATTAAGTGATGTACATTTCACTGTGGAAATTATGGACTTGTTTAGTAATTATTATGTATTTGAGAGCAACCTTGTTATATGATAACCATCTTGTATTTTTATCTAATCATTCGGCAATGCATAGTTTACAGCAATCATATAGAATAAAGCAATCATCTGAGGCAATAATACGATACAAAATTTTAAAAATCATAATGGATTTGTTTCAGGTTTATGCACTTAAACCCATTTCAAACCTTTATTTTCCAAGAACCATTATCGTCTGTAAACGTCAATAATTTTGAGGGTTTTAATTTTAGTTAAGAAAAAAAAACAAATAAACTATTTCAATATTTTAATAAGATTATGTCAATTTCTTATATTAATTTATTCAGGTACCACCGATTGTCTAGGAACTCAGAATGATGGGAAAAGAAGAAGAGTACATAGTTTTACTGTTCATCCAGATTACGAAGAAGGAGGAACTTTTGATAATGATATAGCATTGATAGAATTGGACAGTTTGGTTGAATACACCGATAACATACGTCCTATTTGTGTTGAACCGGCGGAATACAATGACAGGGTGTTTCTAGAAAACAGTGGCTCCTTTGGACGCGTGATTGGGAAAGTCGCTGGCTGCGGTGCAACAAAACCTCATGGCAAAGGAATGCCCGACAGACTGAGGGTAGTATTTAAAGATATAAATACTAAGATTCAAAGATAGTAAATGTTTTTTGTCCTTTTTGTCGAACACTGGTTAGTGATTCTTTACTAGATTTTATTAAGGTATTTAAATGTTTTATATAGGCAAATAAAAGAGGGGTTTACCATCAGTTGTAAGACAGAGACATTTAAAGATAAGATACACTTTAAAGGATCTTTAAGGGATCATATGACCGATTGTAAAAGTACAGTCTTTGTAAATGTGATAAACTAACGTGAGACAGTCAGGTTGAAGTGCGTATATGTATAGAATTTGCAACAACTCTATATGTCAATGACAACAATGCATAACAATGTACCGCATATGTCAAAAACAATTGCAAAATAAACGAATTACCAATCAATTGCTAAACAATTTAAAATCGGATTACATCGATCACGTACCGAAACACAGTGCAAATTACAAATGCGTTTATACCTAAAAAATGTTCCTGTCATAAAAAAACGAACCTGAAACTATAACTATCATATAAACAGAATTTTAATTTGTTTGTTCCTATGTCAAAATGTAATTTTAAAAACATCAACGATTACAAAGCAATATGTTAAATGATTATTGAAAATAACTTATATTTTGATATTTTCATTTGATATTCAAAAGGAGATTTATTTAGTTTAAGTCCTCTTTTTCAATTCTTTTAGTTTAAGGCATTTTATAACAGAGAAACATGTCTTGAATCAATTGGCAACGAACACAATAGACTCACTTACACAATGCCTGGGCTCGGGTTGCGTTCACTAAAAGTCCCCCTTCTTTGTTGATCTTGTTTTTCATATTTTTAGTTTAATGCATTTTATATCATTAACCTGTTTCATATTATAGGATGTATATATTCCGTATGTGGATAGAGAAACATGTCGTGAATCAATGGGCAACGAACGTGATAAACTCACTGACACAATGTTTTGTGCTGGGAGTAATGTAAGTATCATATATTTGCAAGGATTGTTTTCATTACATCGAACATACTCTAAGGTTGAGTGTTTCTGTTTTGCTTTGAAATATAATGAGAATTGTAAGACAATAGATGAAACAGGATAAAGTGTGCTGTTTTTAATCTGATAGCCTAGTTATGTTTAACATCAATTATATTCATTTCTCAAATCACTCATTAACATTTTTGATAAAAAGAAAACACGCACGCACAGAAATGATATTATCTGGTATATGAAAAATATTTGCCCATATTTCTATTTCCTTGCAAAAGGTATACAAATAAGCACAATGGCATTAATGTATTTCAATGTTTAACCAAAGTTTAGCTGTCATGCCAAACATTCATTACTTTATTATAATATATCATCTTCTTTAAAGAGACACAGGCAAAACTTTTATTTGTTCTAACTGATTTTTCAATCAGATATTCTTTTTAAGATATACTATGCTCAAATTTGACATCAGAAAATATTGATAATTACTGCATAGTCTCTTTGTAAATATGAACTAAACATGTTTTTACTTCACACCAAGTTGATATGTCACGTTTTAAACTCTACACACTATAGGTCGCCACAATATGAATATATAGTGTCGTTAAAAGAACTGGCAGTGTTTTTAAGAAAAGACCAACTTTACTTGTCCTATAATAGAGAATGTGACTTCCAATGTATAGTTTTATCTTTTTTATACAAATTCAACATATTCAGTAAGAATTTCATAGGTTTTAATGAATTTCTTCGATCAAAATAGTTTACTTAAAGATTAGCATAGTATATCTTTAAATGTCCCCGAAATGAACACAGTAAGCAGTTTAAGGTGTAAAGATTTCTCCTTTTGAAGTTGCCTAACGTGTGTCAGGTAAGGAGATGTAAGACTTAATGCTAAATATCGCAGTGAACCATTGGAACGAAAAGATTATTATCAAGACAAAGACCTACATTTGTTTTTCACTAAAACTATAATCCAAGTTTGTTCTTGTAACCCCCGAGGCTTGTTCTTGTAATGCAATTTTCTTTAACATAATTTTGTGATTCTGTTTGCTTTTAAATTTAAAAAGCAAACAATACATTACATTTCAAAACACAAATATGCTGGACATTATAAAACAAATTTCATTGTTAGCGAGATTTGAGTAAATAAAAATATATACTAGTAATATTTTTTGTCATTCACTTGCCTGTGGCTTTTAAATATTCATATTTGCCAGTTTTTTTTATTTTTTCTTCCCAATCAAAGATTGCTAGAACTGGAGACACTTGCCAAGGGGACAGTGGAGGTGGCTTAATCATGGCAACGAGCACAAGATGGGTTCTCACTGGCGTCGTTTCTTGGGGCAGGGGATGTGATGTGAATAAACACTACGGTGTTTACACAAACGTTGGCATGTTCTATGACTGGATAGAGAGCGTTACAAAATTTAACGAAGAGGAGGTGCCAGACTTTATCAATCATAATTGATCTTAAATAGTGATTATTTGTTGATTTGTCATGCCACAATTAGTATAAAGCTCATTTACTCAAACGTTTATACCTGTTTTACTTGAAATGAAGTTGATAGACAACGATAAATATAAAGTTTTAATCTTAATCTCGATCAATGTTGATGATACGTATTTCACTTATTAAATCTAGTCATTGTTGTTTATTTGTAACATTTATATATAAAGCTTGCCTAAAACTTGCCAGACACGTTGTTTAGTTCTGAAAAAAGAAAAAAAAAAACTCACTATTTCAGAATACTTTAATAACAGAGACATTTAATGATAAGATACACTTTTAAGGAGCTTCTTTAGGCCAAAAGCCGTGAACCGTAATATTTGAAATTCTTACATAGGTCACGTGAAGCACTTAAATTGGAACACTCTGCAAAGGATAATTACGAAATTTGCTATTAATCAAATTGGAAATTATTATTCTGGGCTATTCCGTGCGCGCTATGGGCGTAAGGTGTTGCATCACTTTTCATTTTTTGGGTCATAAGATATAATTATATGTTATTTCTTTATTTGTTGAAGAAAATGTATGGAAGAGGCTGGCATGTATTTTATCAAATTGATTATTTAGAGCAATATTTAATGATAGAGTTAGATAAGGATAGGCAATAAAAGATTAATTGCAAAATATTAAAATCTATCAAGCTGATATTGCTTTATTTGTAAATTAAAAGAGAAAGACAAATAACGATTTACATATACATGCATCTACTCGTAAAAAACTACCATATATGCTATTTTGAAAACCTTGATAATTATTTCTATTTTACACTCCAGCATATTATAATAACAGAGACATTTAATGAAAAGAAATTGGGGTCACTATCCTAGTTTTTAAAATGACATTGACTTCGATTTGCTTTTTAATTTTAGACAATTTCAATAGTAATTAACTTATACATAGGTCCAACAAACCTTATTTCAAATACATGTAATTTTTTTCAAGATTTTATCCTAGTCGAACGTTCGATTTCATTTTATTCCGTCAAAGCTTAACTCAAAATTCTTATAAACATATCGCATAAGTGTAGGTAAAGAAGAAAGATTAAAATAAACAAACTACTCATTACCAATTCTGTAATTTGCACAAGTTTTAGAAAGGAAGTTTGCTATATGAAAATTGGAAAATATATGGCGTTTGAACCTAAGTTGTTCATAATCTGGCATTGAAATAAGCAAATAAGGGCAAAAAAATCAACAATCAGGTCGAGGATTCCTTAAGTTTTCCCTTGACATCTTTTTGTTACCATATTATAAGATCATGCAACGTGTATCATACAACGTTAAAGTACGCATTTAAAGGCAGTATGCAAGACATAATTTATAGGACCTTTTCCTGCAAAGCAAATTAAAATTCTTTTTGTTTCAATTTGAGTTTACTTATTGATAATAAAATTTAAAATTTATTGATTTTAAGCCATACATTACGTAAATACCTTTGAATCTGATGATATTACTTTAATATCTCTAACTGTTTTTGTTTCTGCTTAAAACTTCTGACAACCATTATTAAATCTAATCACTGTTATATTCATTTTTCAATTCAACTGAATATTTGAAAATGCCAGAGAAAAATTGCAAGCAAATAAATTTGTCACTCGTCTATTTTCCTTTCCTTTTTGTTATTCTAATAATGGATACTTCAGTCACAGTCCTGTTTTTATTTTTGCAATGTTCAAATATAAATGTTGAACATCTACCGTTTTGCATTTAGAAAATGAACGAAGAAAAAACTGTGTTAAAACATTTCAGTGAGTTCTTAATATTATATTATGCTTTTATATTATATGCAAATTTGTATAAACATTTTGTCTTATCGGAGTAAGAGTGCTCTGTTGCTGACATGTTTCCTGTCAAGATGCCATAAAATAATATAGATTGATTAACATAGTAGGACTTTTTATTCTTAGCTTACTTATCAAATATGTAATGTATGTAAATGTGTAATAAAGTCAGTTATTAAAAACATTATTAAGTTTATCTAAAACCATTTGAGTATACGTCATTTGTGTTACATACAAAAATAGCGGAAAAGCGCCTTAAAGTAAGCGTTTTTTTGTAGGCGTGCCTATGAAAAATGACTCTTTATATCGTTTCTTGTTTGGATAATTCAATGCGTAATGTATCGACCTCGTTACCAAAGGCTCACATAAACGATTATATTCAGTTCGTTCTTAAATCTACACTCATTCAGTATCTTCTATATGTCTCGTGTTTTTAGCTAAAATAGTGAATCTAAAGCACTAAAGAACATCCGAGCAGGCAATATATTGCAGCCTCACTTTGATTAAATCTGTTCATAGAGTCCGTTTTTTCATAAACCGTGTTAAGAATTTTACTTTAGTGTTGTTATATTTTTCTAGTCCTTCGGGATAATTGATTTCAGCACGTAAATGATTGAAAATTCAATATGCTAAGGGGGCATAAGGGATCTTGCACGTTTTCATTATCCTCAACTACAGACTCAATCGAAGAGTTCAAAAAACTTCACACTTATTGGTTTGTTCCATGAACGGATTCAAAAGTGTCTCTATAAGCTTATAGCTTCCAACACAACCGAACCAAAATGAATTCTATATAAACCAATCAAACAGAGTCTGCAATTTTCATGTTTCATGTTTCATCTTCTTGTGTTTAATGCTTACGAGCAATCAACATTTCCAGGTTTTTAAACAAATCCAGTGACATTCTACTACTTTTAGCCTTACTGCTGTTTGATTATAAGACCGAATTAGTCAAATGTTCATTTGTTTTTTTTTTTTAACAAATAACTTCGATTTTAATTGAGAAAATAGATAATAAAAAAAGAAATTAATATCGAAAAGATACGAAAGCCTAATAGTGTCAAATAAAATAAAAAATAAGAAATGCAAAGGCGTTATAACGCGAATAAAGGCATTATTACGCGAATCAAAAGGCGTAATAACGCGAATAAAGGCGTTATAACGCGAATCAAAAGGCGTAATAACGCGAATAAAGGCGTAGCAACGCAAATAAAGGCGTTATAACGCGAATCAAAAGGCGTAATAACGCGAATAAAGGCGTTATAACGCGAATCAAAAGGCGTAATAACGCAAATAAAGACGTAATAACGCGAATCAAAAGGCGTAATAACGCGAATAAAGGCGTAATAACGCAAATAAAAAGGCTTAGTAAAGCAAATAAAGGCGTAGTAACGCGAACCAAAAGGCGTAATAACGCAAATTAAAACGCATTATAATGCCAATTTATACCATATTTATACTAATCAAATTGCCTAGTAACGCGAGAAAGGAAGACCAATATTGATCTGAATTTATTGCTCAAAATTTAAACTCCTATAGAATAATACAATATACATTTACAATAACTATCATTCCATTTGCACAGTAATAATGCAAACTATTTGTCATAAACTAATGAAGACTCTTTAATATTTGCCAATATAAGATGACTTGGTGACTTATAGGTCATAAAGTATTACCTCCTTCAAATAACAATCCTCCTATGAAGTTTAAATATTGTGGGCCAAATGGTACTTAAGTTATGCTCCGGAAACCAAATTGCTAACGGACAGACAGACGGACGGACGGACGTTCCAACATTTTGGGTTTAGGGGATATTTTCTTTGTTATTTTCTTTGTTTTTACAAGGGCTACTAGCCCATAAACCCTTTGATCACGGAATGAACCTATTGTTCTCTTTTGTTCTCTTTACTGTTATATAGCCCCTAAACCCTAAATGTTTGCTCGGACGGACGGACGCCAGGGGGTATAACATAATATGCCCAAAATTCTTTCGGGCATATAATAAAACGTACATCTAGATCAATTCATTTAAATCAACATTGTTCTTCCTTGCATACATTACTAGGCCACTGTTTGGAATTTATATGGTATTAAATTAGCTTTATAACGCCTTTTGTATTGCGTTATTACGTCTTTTGGTTCGTGTTATTACGCCTTTTGATTCGCGTTATAATGCCTTTATTCGCGTAATTACGCCTTTTGATTCGCGTAATTACGCCTATTGTTTTGCGTTATTACGCGAATAAAGGCGTTATTACGCCTTTCAATTCGCGTTATAACGCCTTTATTCGCGTTAGAACGCCTTTTGATTCGCGTAATTACGCCTATTATTTTGCGTTATTACGCGAATAAAGGCGTTATTACGCCTTTAAATTCGCGTTATAACGCCTTTATTCGCGTTTTTACGCCTTTCTATTCGCGTTATAACGCCTTAATTCGCGTTATAACGCTTTTGATTTGCGTAATTACGCCTAGTGTTTCGCGTTATTACGCGAATAAAGGTGTTATTACGCCTTTCAATTCGCGTTATAACGCCTTTATTCGCGTTATTACGCCTTTCAATTGGCGTTATAACGCCTTTTAATTCGCGTTATTACGCCTTTCAATTCGTGTTTTAACGCCTTTATTTGCGTTATAACGCGAAACAAAAGGTGTAATAACGCGAATCAAAAGGCGTAATAACGCGAATAAAGGCGTTATCACGCGAATCAAAAGGCGTAATAACGCGAACCAAAAGGCGTAATAACGCAAAACAAAAGGTGTTATAACGCTAATTTAATACCATATAAATTCCAAACAATGGCTTAGTCATGTAAGAAAGGAAGAACAATGTTGATCTAAATGAATTGATCAAGATGTACGTTTTATTTTCAATTCTGTAAGGATACGTCCTAAGACCACAGTTTGATTTTTTAAAATCTTTTATTAGGAAGTGCTTTCGTCGGATTAGAGGTTACTATCACCCAACTTTAGATACTTTTCTACAAGGACAAAGAAGACAATGTCCCCTATAATTGTGACTTAACAGAAACACTTTCACCCTTCTAAGCATACCTATCAATAATTAAGATATACTTCACCCTAATGTGATTTACTTATACCTTACGTTTTTTCAAAATCTTGTTACCTATAGCCTATTACCTATGGCGTAATTGGGAACGACATTCACATAATTAGAAGATACTACAGATTATTAAGTAATTATACAGGACATATCCGTAGATAATTGAACATATGACGCACATATAAGATAAGATATAAGAACAGAAAAGAAAAGATAAGAAAAGAAATTCATTTACTATAGTGACGTGTTTAAAATCAATGATGTGATACATGTGAATTCAGAGTAACTTTATTTAAGTCCAGTCCAATGGACCTATAAGTCACCAAGTCATCTTATATTGGCAAATATTAAAGAGTCTTCATTAGTTTATGACAAATAGTTTGCATTATTACTGTGCAAATGGAATGATAGTTATTGTAAATGTATATTGTATTATTCTGTACGAGTTTATATCTTGAGCAATAAATTCAGATCAATATTGGTCTTCCTTTCTCGAGTTACTAGGCAATTTGATTAGTATAAATATGGTATTAAATTGGCATTATAATGCGTTTTAATTTGCGTTATATTACGCCTTTTGGTTCGCGTTACTACGCCTTTATTTGCTTTACTAAGCCTTTTTATTTGCGTTATTACGCCTTTATTCGCGTTATTACGCCTTTGATTCGCGTTATTACGCCTTTATTTGCGTTATTACGCCTTTTGATTCGCGTTATAACGCGAATAAAGGCGTTACTACGCCTTTTGATTCGCGTGATAACGCCTTTATTCGCGTTGCTACGCCTTTTGATTCGCGTTATAACGCGAATAAAGGCATTACTACGCCTTTTGATTCGCGTTATAACGCCTTTATTCGCGTAATTACGCCTTTTGATTCGCGTAATAACGCGAATAAAGGCATTACTACGCCTTTTGATTCGCGTTATAACGCGAATAAAGGCGTTATTACGCCTTTTGATTCGCGTTATAACGCGAATAAAGGCGTTACTACGCCTTTTGATTCGCGTTATAACGCCTTTATTTGCGTTATTACGCCTTTTGATTCGCGTTATAACGCCTTTATTCGCGTTATTACGCCTTTTGATTCGCGTAATTACGCCTTTTCATTTTTATTTTTTTATTTTATTTGACACTATTAGGCTTTCGTAAAATGAAGATACAAAAAAAGAAGAATAAAACGTAAATTTATTGGTTTTGAAAACGCAATATTCAAAGTAAGAATATATTTTCTGATTAACATAAATATCATAATAACCATTCTTAAAACAGAAAGAAGTATTGCCAATTATAACATGCTCGCAGATGAGTTGTCCAGGGTTGGCATATTATGGCGAAAGGTAAAATGCTATCATTTTGGGCCAAGCCCTGGCTAGAGTTATCCAAATTAGTATAAATACGAAGATTGTGAAATGGTATATCACTGTAATCAACGCTTTAAAAGATGTTAACCAAAATACAGATATTAATTATTACGTTTTTTTAATTACATCAGGTACAATTACACGTACATTATCTTTATGTTATGTTATATGTTGTTATGACTAAGGGATATAAAAGATACAAATGTTTTTAAATTTCACATTTCTAAAATTTATTGCATTTTAATCACAATCGTAACGTATTACACATTTTTCATCAGATTTCTATCAAATAAATCCTTTTGTGATTGTTATTAGGATGGCGTTAGTACATGTCAGATTACAATGTTTCTTTTCAGAAATCAGGTATATATATATATATATATATATATATATATATATATATATATATATATATACAAACACATTCCTCCATTTACGGGGCATCGGTCGATTTGAGACCATACTTGTGGGGTGTATATTTAATGTGGGGCATACATAAGGCCTCGCAACTCTGGCATGTTTAAAACGATGTATGGGGGCGTAGGCTACCCTTCTAACATAGTGCCCGTAGGCCGGTTTTAGTAGTAAATGATATATGTCCCACAAATGTATATATTTTAATGGGGTTTTCAATTATTGGTCAATATGTTTTCACCTATGGTAAAATCAAATATATAGTTTATATATATAACTAAGTACCCTTAGTTCTGTTGTATGGAAATGTTCATTATAGGCCTATATAGTGGCGTATATAAA